TTGGGCTAGAAGACCTCCCAGATCCTTTACACTTTTTCACACACCTCTATTCTCTTTCCCCTTTTGGATACATGTGTACACTTAAATGCGTGTGCATATTGCATACATGTACACAGACCCAAGTGTACTTTTTCTGTCTGAGTACATGCAAATTCCTTTTTCACAAAAAAATTTAACAGATATATTTCAGAATGTTAACGTTTCAGCACAATGTATCTTTTAAGGGCCCTATTCATAGACTTGTGAATTAATTTAAAATGGGTTAATAATTGTAAAATGCAATAAGTTGTGAAGGCCTTGTGTTTAAAGGTGCTGCACAGATAATATTTAAAATAATGAATTAGGTGTTTCGTTTCTAAATTCAGGAAGAAAAGAAGATCCTCTTCTATTACCCAAATGAAGCAGAGAAGAATGAAAAAATCAGAAATGTTGGATTATGTGAGGCCATTGTTCAGTTTACAAGGTACCACACTCCCTAGGACTGCATGTCTAGTATTTCATTTATTTGGGAAAAATGAAACTTACTTGCCTCTTGGAACAGTGGCATGAACGAGGTGCTATGTCAATAAAGTAAAATAAACGAAACGAAACCTTGGCCAAAAATATTAAATTGTTTCATTTCCGTAATGATGACATAACTCATGTCATCTTGATGTTCTTGAGGCATGTTACTGATGCTTCAAATCCCACATTTCACCCAAAACAGTGTATCTACTTTTTTCTGATTTGTTTTGATTCCCCCCACCCCACAAAAAAAAAAAAAAAAAAACCCTATGAAAAACAGCCTGGGAGAATTATAGAACTAAAATTGCCCTGTGGATTTCTTGGCTAATTAAGGTTTAAACTAAATTTCTACAGTCCATCTTGATTTGTTTACATATTACTTAAACGAGGAGATTTGAGAACACAATGTAATGAATAGTTTCCTCCTTTATGAGGAAATAAAAACAATAATGGATTATTTCATGTTCTCCTGGTCCTGATGAACATTTAAACTCTGCTAATTCATAATAATATATTTTTCTTCGTAGAACCTTCAGTCCCACAAAACCTGCAAAATCACTACATACCCAGAAAAATAGACAGTTCTTCAATGAACCGGAAGAAAACTTCTGGATGGTTATGGTATATAAATGCATTGTGCTGTTCTTTGAAGCAATTTTTTCTGTACTTTTTGAATGTCCTGTCATATTTTTATACCCTTTATGCTGAAAATTTCTCTGAAACGGTTTACAGATGAATAATTGGACAATCCATGCTATCAGACTAAAAGGGGTGGCTAGGAGGGGTAAATAAATCAAAACAAAGGTCCCATTGCTAAGCTATGATTGTTAGAAATGATGGTTGCAGTGAAACAATTCAGGAGTCTGGTGGGATAACTGTTGTTGGATGACAGTTTGACTAGAAGTTGTAGGAGAAGGAATGGTACCATCTGGAGGAGGGGTCAAAAGAAGAATCAGTCTAGAATCCCTACGGAGGCACAAATGAATTCCAATGACCCTTATCCGGAGCCAAAATAGGGCTTAGCCCACCATTATTTGCCCGCTGCTCTCTCTAAAGGTTCTCAAAAGAGCCTATAGAAGCTAAAACAGGCAAAACAAAATTGCTTAAATAAACTGTTTTGTTCCGTTTTCAAGGTCGTACGGAATCCGATGATAGAAAAACACAAAGATGGCAAAACGGTTGTCGAATACCAAGAAGAAGAGCTGCTGGTAAGAATGAAATGTCACGTTGGAAATGTTAGCAAATATATCTAGGTGGTGTTTTCCTTTTCTTTGACGACTTGAACCCCTCAAGAGTCGTCTTTTCTTTCTCCCAACATCCGTAAATAGTTTCTGAAATTCTGACCTCCAGAGTGCACCCCTTTCCCCTCATTTCGCTTCTAAAATAAGGTGACAGCACAGCAGGGGATCAGCTTTCTGGCCCATAATGGCCATTCTGCAGCGGTGACCACGATTCATTTTTTTAAAAAAAATCATTTTATCATATTAGTTTATTGCATTTTTCCTGGTTCCCATTCAAATGAATGAGTTTGCTTAATGACCATTGAAAAAAAACTATTTCCGGTTGCATGAATGCCTTGACTTACTATGGTAACACATTATGTCCAGATTTCTGGTGCAATTTTGGTCGTAAGTCAAGGACTACCTACCTGTAGTGTGATCAATACCTGTTCAGAAGCCAGAGCCACTGATTCTAAGATTATTACATCTGGATCCGATCCAATTGCAGCTGGTTTTCATGAGTTGTTAAACTTATTTCCCTGAAAAAGTTTTCTCTTGAAAACAGCAGTTATCTCATGGTGCGATTTGCAACTTCTTGGAGTGATTTTTTCTTCTTCTCACAGGCCATTCCTCTGGGAATATGGTTTGAGAGAAAGACTGCCACATACAAAGCGTAAAAAAAATGGAGTTGTCGTTTATAGATTGATGGAAAAGTACCGATGGGCAGTTTTGTTTTTGAGGTTTTTTTTTTTTAAAAAAAAAAAATAAGCCTGTGTAACTGCATCCTTAGTCAAAATAACTGCCTTTGTGTCTTTGTGATAATGACTTTCTGACTGATTCTGAATCTCTTACAGGACAAAGTTTATAGCTCAGTGTTACAGCAATGTTACAACATGTATAAGGTCAGTTTCACCATAATATTTGTTAATTAAGTTAGAGTGGGTAAAACAGCTTTTACTTGTACTCCCAA